GGGGAGCACGGGGGAGGTGATGCAGGGAGCACGGGGAGGTGATGCAGGGAGCACAGGGAGGTGATGCAGGGAGCATGGGGGAGCACGGGGGAGGTGATGCAGGGAGCACGGGGGAGGTGATGCAGGGAGCACCGGGAGGTGATGCAGGGAGCACAGGGGAGGTGATGCAGGGAGCACGGGGGAGGTGATGCAGGGAGCACAGGGAGGTGATGCAGGGAGCATGGGGGAGGTGATACACGGATGTCTGTGTCATGTGACTCCAGACCCCTGGCGCCACCCTGCCCTGTCTTGGAAGTTCAAGTTCACTTAACACACTGGCCACCCAGCCCTCCGCTGGGCATTGCTCAGAGGTCACTGTGGAGGGGCCAAGTAGTGATACTCAGGCAAGGCCCTGAACAGGAGCCAGAGTGCGATTGGCTCTGTTGTGATCAGGCACCAGTGTGGCGGCACGGTCAGTCCCGTGGCGTCCGGCGGGGCGGGTGGACGCCCTCCCATCTCAGACGGAGAATCCTAGAGGCGCACCTGCAAGAAAAGGCAAAAGAAGACACAACCTTGGGGGAGGGAGGAGTCATGCTTTAAAAAAATGCTCCCAAAACCTCGGGAGGGATAGAAGCCAAGATGCCCAGAAGCCTACAGCTCTCGTCACTCCACAGGCTGGCACAGAGCAGTGGGACGAATGCCTTCAGGCAGGAGAAACTCCAGCATCGCCAGGGCCAGCACACCTGCCTTCAGGCAGGAGAAACGCCAGCATCGCCAATAGCAAGGAAGACGCCGGGTGGGGCAGGCTCGGGTGGGAGGCGGGGCCATTCACCGGTCGTCCGCCGGGCTGGCGCATGCGCCTCAGAAGACTACACTAATATTCCTGTAGTCATGGAGCCAAAATGCCAGGGGCCCTGTGCCGCGGTGAGGCTCGTCAGCACCCTAGGACTCCTCCTCTGTGAACCCTCGCTCTGTGTGGGGACACTGGGAGAGGAGGGTCAGGCGGCCTCTCGTGGGCAGACCCTTGGCTGTGTAGAGCAGAGCAAACCCCACAGGGACAAAGGGCCCCACTGTTGGAGCAAGTGGGGAGTAGACAGGACCACACAGCTGCCATCAGGAAAACTAGGGGTTGTCTCAGAAAACATCCATGTTGGGAAGGACTGAGAATGGCAGCCCCACGCAGCTCAGCTCCACCTTGGCAGGCAAAGGGCACTGTGGGGGCATGGGCACCGAAAATGCTGTGGGTGGAGAGGAACGAGAGGACTCCATTATCCCCCCCCCAGCCCATCCCATGGCTCTGAGCGTCTCACATACAAGCCCAGCAGCACTGACAGAGCAGACACCGCCAGCTCCGCTGCCTCTTCAGGGCTCAGGTGCCCGGGAGCTGGGTGTTGATGTACGATACAGCAGATGGCCAGCAGCGTTGCTTTGAAGACACATTGCTTTGTGCTGATGTATGTGTCTACCCATTATTATGCATGTCTTTACATGTCCTGTTCAGATGGAGTGCAGTCACCCATCCAGGACTGGTCCTGGTTGCCTGACAACCACAGGTCCCAAAGAGATTGTGGAGCCTGAGAAAAAACTCAGCACCGTGTTCAGGTGCCCCTGGACCAGGCCGCGGGGCCTGTGGCCCCACCACCTGCAGACTTGGCTGACAAAGGCCCTGAGGCCTCTCCCTTCAGTTTCCTTTTACTTCTGCTTCTGTATTTTGATCCCACTGGCCAGGTTTTAGAGCCGCAGAGGGCCTGGTCCAGCGCCCTCACCGGTCCCTGCAGGCCTCTCTAGTTTCTAGCTTTGCTCTGTACCAACCTTGCCCCCTGTAGAATGCACTGGGCACTTGTTTTCCCTTCTGCCTTTTGTGAAACATGATGTTCTTTTTGTATGGCATAGCTTCATTTTGCACCGATGGTGCAGAGATGGAGATATTCGTGGAGATGTGCAGATGTGTGAACTACAGACTCAGGTGCACCTGTGGGTACAGACACCCACACATGTAACAGCTGGAGATGTAAGTTTTCACTTCTTCCCCATTTTCCACC